AGTCCGGAAGCAAGACTCGACTGCAGCGCTGCTAGTTCTCGTGACCGCCACTGAGCCCACGTCGCAGGCGGAGCTGTGAAACTGAGCTTGCTCCAGTAACGTTGGCTAGGACCATTGTAAGCCAATCGCAAGTGAAGAATCCTAGTGCCTCCACCCGGTGGAACCGCGGAGTGATATTTCGAATGAGTACAGCTCGTTGGCCATTCCCAGCGAGGAATTTGGGTATCGCCGCTTGGTGGAACTTTTTCACAACCCAGATTGATGATACTCCAACTTCCTCTTCTGGTGCAAGCACGTGCAATGCCATGCTTCTATGCACTATACAAATTAAGTCGTAATATCGTGGGTAGCACGTACACTACACGTAGTAAGAAAAACAAAAGCGCCCTTAGCGAGCATGTCACTGCGAATATAGCCCGGACCGTGGCCTGGAAATTCGGCGAGAGTCGTACTCTGGTAACGCCACGTAGCGCACAAAGTGAATCGTGTGTCATCGCAGCCGTCGTTTCATCGCGCCGTGGCTCGCGCTGACCCGACGCCTTTCGTGGAAGTATGGTGCCTGGATCGCGTCTTCGACTGGTGTGTTTAGCGTCCTATCCCGCCCATACATCAAAAGTGGTTCCAAAGTGGCAACAAATGACGTCACAGAAGCCGGAGTGTCATGCTGTTGCCTGTCGCGATCCTGGTGGTCGGCCGTAGAAACGCTGGCGAGAAGCACGAGCAAACGCGAGTGTCACTGTCGTCACGGCGTCCCAGGCGTCCCAACTTCCGGTTGCTGTAGCTTCTGTGAACTGTCACAGTGGAGAGCTACCTGCAGCAGAACAGGCGTCTGTCATTTATACCACAACTGTTGGGATGCCGCCAGGGTCACGACCGGCGACAGCAGGACGCTTCTATGACGTCATCAGGCGGAAATCGAGGGACCACTTTTTTGGCCGGGGTAAACACACCAGTCGGAGACGCGTTCCAGGCACCATTGTGGAAGAGATGCTTCGACGAACAGCCACATGGGTCCACCTCTTACGATACGACGTACACACTTGCACGACGTCATAAAGTTAACAGCAACGACGCGCCAAGCGCGCCGCAAAGGCGCCAGTCCTCCCGTGGGAGCAAACGCACCTGACCGAAAAATTCAGCAGCTTGGAAACACGGAGTGGTAGGTAATACGGCTTTCGTTACGCCGCTGATATAAGGCTTGCATGGACGTCACATCAGCCACCATGGCTCCGAACCATGCTCCGGTGCCCGTTCCTTCTGCAGCATAATTTTGGCACCATCGAATTTGTTCTTGCTGGCAAGCCTCGCAAAGAGAACAAATTCGATGGTGCCAAATGCATGCCGCAGAAGGTACGAGCAGAAGAGCCTGGCACGAAGATTGAAGAAAAAAAAAAAAACGATGATTGAACCCGGCGAACGCGCGCTCGAGAGATGACGTGGCTGACGACCAGGCAGATAACTGCAGCAAAAGACAAACAAAAAACAAAACAAAAGCATGGTGTGCGGTTTTTGCGACGATTATTGCAGTATTGTGTTCCCCTCTCCGCGAAAAAATGGACATTTTTCGACTATTCCTCCCCCCCCCCCCCTCTTATGCTTTTATCATCTACAAAATCTTACACATTTTGTAATAACAGCGTTTTCATTCAAACGAAATCACGCGTTCTTATTGGTCACACCTGCTCCTGGTTGCCAGCACAATGCCCCCCCCCCCCCCCCCCTCGCCGGAGATTACCTTGGTAATTTCGAGTTTTTATTGTTTTTTTAAATAGAAAAATATTCCGCTCATCGGTATGCATTATGGATTTCTAAGATAGTTAGAGCCTGTACAGTTCTCGCCGTATTTACGCGATCTTAAAAATTGGAAGTCATTCCTCTCTGCAAAGGTGGCTGACCAGAGAAGCTGTTTAGAACAGGACACAGACGTGTCACATACTTTTGAACAAAGGTACAAACAGATCTACTCTCTTGATCGGTGGTCATCGTGACAAAAGAAACGCACACACGCGTACCGCCCGCCGCTGACGCTGTCATTCTCGTTGCCGTTCCCGCCGTTGCTCTTCGTAGGCGCGTTGCTCTTCGGGAGTCCGAACTATCCGCGGCCTCCCCAATACGACGAGAGAAAACAAGTGACATTGAAAGTGGAGAACGGAAACTTGCCCTTCTGGTTTTTTATATACATTCGCGTGGACAATTATCGCCACCTCGAGGAGCCGGAGGAAACTAGACACGCGCAACGAACCGAAACCCGGCGGAAAGCAGACACGCGCGACGGGAGCGCCCCCTGGGAGAGCGGAAGGAAAGGAAACTAGGTACGAAAGTGCTTGGAACGACGACAAAAAGAGGGCGGTGATAGCGTAGAACTTTTTATTACGCACATAGCGTAGAACTTTTTATTACGCACTTTTTATTATGCACGTCTCTGTCAGCTGACTGCACCTGGAACGTACACATCAACGACGTTGTTATGAGGGCAGGCAGAGCGTTTGGATTTTTAAAACGAAATTTAAGGAAATCAACTAAAGCTATCGAAGAGCTCGCCTACCTGTCTTATGTACGCCCAGTGCTAGAGTACGCCTGCACCGTGTGGGATCCTTCTCAGCAAAACCACATTGTTGTCTTAGAAAGAATTCAGAGTTGTGCCGCTCGTTTCGTTTTGGTGCGGTACGGCCGTTTTGAGAGTGTAACCGACATGATAAAAGAGCTGGGATGGCCTACATTGGCATTAAGACGAGGAAATTTGCCCTTGAAGTTTTTATACAACATCTATAACAACGAAACTGGCATTAATAGCTCATTTTACTTATTACCACCAAATTATATCTAAAAAAGAAAAGACCACATTCATAAGATTAGAGAATACCGCACCAAAACGGAATTGGGCAAAAATTAGTTTTTTTTTTTTGTTAAAACAATTAAGGAGTGTTGCCCAGTCCGATTGTGGGTGCCGCGAATTCAAAAATTGTTTTTTCAAGTTTATTCGCTCCTGTGATAATGCCTGATGGCGCTGCAGGACAATGATGAATAAAGAATAACGAATGAAAATCTCTAAATTATCCATACTTCAAGGAGAATGCAGAGAATGGTGTTCCACGCGCCGCACGCGCACGCCTTCCCCGTATAAAGATTTGAAGTAAATAACCAGAATAAAGCGTTGACGAACGCGCTGACAAGATGCCATTTGTTTTAGGTTTTTGTTTTAGAACAGTTACTGCTGCATACGCAGGCATGTACGGCGCGGGGATGTGCTGCGACCGTAGAGGTTTAGAGCGCAGCTCTTAAGCGCGATCCAAACCAACGCTTCTTTTTGCGCCTGTAGGTCGTGCGGCTGCGGATGTGACGCATTTCGTGCCGTTTTTGCTGTTTCCGGGCGCGCTTTCTGCGTCAGAACCGTGCGCTTTGGTTTGGACGGGCGAAACTTCGGCACGAGAGCACAAGCAAAGTGCAACTGCGACAGACTGGCCGGCCAGACGGCGAGAGAAAGAGAGAGAGAGAGAGATCGCGTTGTCATGTTGGAAGAGAATAAAAGGGGGGAGGAGAGGGCAGCCAGACGGCGAGAAACGCGGAGCCGGAACTAGCTTGCCCTCCACCGATTGGCCGGGACACAGGAGCGTCCTCTACGTCACCGCGTGTTTTTGTGCGCGTTGAGAAGAAGTTGAAATTATCCAACTTTCTTGTGCGCGCCCGGAAGAAGCGAAGAAGTGGCGCGACGTCACGAAAATACATCACATCCGCAGCCGCACGACCTACAGGCGCAAAAAGAAGCGTTGGTTTGGATCGCGCTTAATGGTACGTTTACACCTGAGAAGAAATCCGCTGCCGCGGGAGCGGATCCGCTCCCGGCGGCGGCGGCGACGAGCGGGTTGCGTTTACATCTGTTTCCTTCGAGCAGTGGCGGCAGCGCCGGCTGCGGCAGCGGTTCCCGTAACGTCTCGTCAATAATGACGAGAAGGCGCGAGAGTTCCCGCCTCGGCTCTCTCTCTCCCGGGCGTTGCTGCTCCCGGAAGAACGCGTACTCGTGACGTAGGGCGTCGCGCCGCGCAAGAATGTCATATCCGGTCAGCGAAACGCCTCGTTCGGCGGCAGAAATAGATCCCGGACCTAAACGGCTCGCCGCCGCGTTTTCCGCCCAGCGTTTTGCCCCAGCGGCAAAAGCTGGGCGGATTCGCTGGCGGATCCGCAAGTGTAAACGTACCATTAGGCGCCCGTTCCGGCTTGAGCGCCGTCGGCGTAACCGTGTGGTCACGTGCCCCCCCCCCCCCCCCCTCCCAGGTCACGCGACCCCCCGAGGTCACGCGACCTCCCCCAGGTCTGGGGGTCACGTGACCCCCCCCCCCCCCCCCCCCCGAGATCACGTGACCCCCGTGAGGGGGGGAGGAGAAAGGAGGAGAGCAGGTGGGGACGAATCCGAATTTTCATTACTCCGAAAAATGATTTTAAGAGACTTTTAACTCTTGTCCCTCGGCCGGCCTCAAACCGGAGCCCTTTCGTTCAGGAGTAGCAGGCAGGATCACGAGGGAGGAGGAGGGAGGAGAGGTATACCCTCTTCTCAGTACCCTACCCTCCTCCTCCTCAAGTGCAGCGGTCCAATTCGGCGTTACAGGGAGTTGTAAACGGCTTTCATTTTTTGGTCACGAACCCGAAAAAATCCACGGAACCCTAGACATAAAGAGCTTCGCTGAAAAACCTCCTCAGGGCAACTTTAATAACAAAATACGGTACCATTTTAGCGCACATGATTGTAAACCTGAGACAGGGGCAGAAAAGAGAACACAACAGAAGGTAGTAAAAGAGGAGGCAACGTCTCAATTTTATTCAGTATTTCGTCGCGTTCTCGACGAAATACTGAATAAATAATTTCTCGGCTGGGCCTTGCTTTGAGTTACAGGAGAAACGTTACTGGGTCGCAACATAACCGACACAATAAAAATGCGATGTATTTGTGACCGTCAAAAAACTAAAATGACAGCATCACTGATATCTGAGATGTTTTTTTGCAGGATGGCCTTCAACAAAACTTATTATGTCATCAGCTCAGATGGGTACAACATCAAGAACGTTCTAAACGGCACAGTTGCTCGCAGTAAGTCACAATCCTGGGAGTCGAAACACATGCTTCCACTCTGCCAAGCTTTTCAATGGTGGCGGTAGTGTTAATGATAGTGACCTTAAAAGAATTGTAGATCCGATCCACTTCACATGAAGATGAAGGACCAGCGAAGATGTTATCTTTATGACAACTTTACGACAAGTTTGCGGCAACAATACGACATCTGTGCGATTCACATATGATTGCAATGAAGACACGTACACAACTTCCTTGTTTAATTGTCTTTATTTAATTCTTAGTGACTAAAGTGATCATTGCCTTATTGTCCCTTATAAGCAAGTTCTAAACCCAATTTTTCGACGCACTCCTCGAGGGCAGTTGCCTCCGATTGAGCTCAAGTCTCTTTATCAGCATCACGGAAGCGAAAGAAAAGAAGGTTAGATCGACGCGTTCTGTCCTCAGCCTTGTCACAGCGCACTCTTAGCTGAGATAAGGCGGTGACCGGAGATAATAACAAGGGATCAGGACCTCACTATCAATAATGCCAAGGAAGGCTGACTCACGCGGGTTGCCCCCTTTTTTTATTTATACTTGCCACGACCATTTGGAAAGAAGGATCCCTGTTTGAACGAGAGTTTTTTTGTTATCAAACATGGACAGGTTTTTTACGGATTCTAGGATATAACAACTTCGCTGTAAAACAATGTACATGTCCTTACTCTTCTAAATATTTTATTTCTCAGGAGAAGGATTTTACAGAATTAATGTCTGGGAAAGCGGAACGACATGGGGAAAACAGCTGAAATGTAATCAACGAATTTCGTATTTTAAAGTAGTTATTTTAAATTGTCAGAATAGTGTCCGGGCCATGTCGACCTACTGAGGAAAAAAAAATTGATTGAGAAAGTAACTGAGTTTTCCGTTAAAAAGATTGAATAAAAAACATCAGGCATGCAAAATGACTTGATTCTTTATTTTTAATTGTTCGTTGAGAATTCATGTTAACAGGCCACTATTACTAATTCTTTCGGCACTTGTTTGTTTCTAGAGAATGAAAGTGAGTTGTATCCGTTTGCATTCGCTGACAAAACATGTGCAGTCATACGGAAGGATAACTGCAGTGATGGTTAGTATCTCGGTTATGTACGTATTCTTACTATCCTTTCAAGTGGTAGTGCAAACCTGAAAAACGGTCACCAAGACGAATGAAACTGAAACTTTTGCTCGAAGGTTGCACTACTCGTGTAATGCAACCTTCGCGTAGTGCGACCGGTAAATCGGTAAAATTCACCGGTAAAATTACACTGATATTTTTCTTGTATATGTGAGAGCTACGACAAGCACCTTTAGATTTAGTCTGGTTGCCATCGTGTTAAAACTAACAGAGATTGGTAGACATACAAAGTGGCGTCCATCCATCTGTGTGGAACTGTTTTGACCTATGCACAGGAATAAACAAAAAAAAAAAAAAAAAAACTGAATAATTCTGGTTGACGCTCCTTCTCACAAGCAAAACCATGAACACTTGTTTGAGGTGAACACCTGAAAGCAGATAGTGCAGTTACGGGCGTTTGTGGTACCAACTGACAGTAGCAGCTTCAACGAGATGATTTTCGCCATTTTCAAGCTTGCGCATATGAAATAATTTTTTTTTTAAGTTTCGTTTTTTTATTGGTTTATAAATGTTAATCGATGGTTTTGAGCGTGCGGCGTCAACCATGTCTTACAAACCACGCAATATAGGACGTCTCAACATCGACAAGAGCTTAAGTTATGAAATAAGGGAAGAGGACAGAAACTTTCTATAATCTCATCTTGGAGGAGTATTTTTTTCTTTATGAAAACGCATGTGCTCAAGACTGGGCTGCGAGGTATCACGTTTATATTTGTTAAATAAATCTGCACATCATTTAGATTCTTAAAAAAAAAGGCATGTGTAAAAATATACACTTAGAACGTTTTAAATAAGACTCTTAATAAATACAAAATAGATATAGTTTAATGAAAGCAAGATTTCCCTCGCTTTACGGAGCACGATGCCAAACAGTCCAGCAACTCAAAAATAAATGTTCAACCTGTCCTTGTTTATGGACATGTTAAATACTAAAATAACCGAAAATCAGTTTGCCAGAAATAATCTTTATAATTCATTGTTCCATTTTTTTTGTAGAATCATTCAAAGCCTGCGAACTTTGGGTGTATAAAACTGTTGTGGAAGAGGAGTTGAGCTGTTGTGACTTTGTATTCGACCTCTTGTGTTCGCGTGGCTATAAGCAAATAACGTATGATTCAGAGCGCTGCAAAGACTAAAGACACTGAAGCGACTGTTGTGGCTCGAGGTTCAACAACGGACGCAGAATTGAGTGCTAAATAAATGGAAATAAACATTTATCTTGCCCCTCTGACTGGTTTATATTTATTGACGCTCTCGGTTATAGGTGGACCGCTTAAGAGTGCTTTGGAAATCACTTAGGGATATAAAGAGTTATTTGAACATTTGCAAGAAGTGCTGCACTTAAGGCAGTAAAACAATATTTCGTCAAACTAAGCACACAAAAAAGTTATAAGAAATTTCTATATTCTGCTAACACTGACACTAAAAGCATTATTTGAAGATGAGCTTACTTTTCCCCAATAAAAGTCGCAAATCTGTTTGACCTACTAATTTCATTGTCGTGCACAAAGCCTGACCCAACAAGCTGGATCTGTCATTTGTGTTTGAGTTTGACCAAATACGCTACGGTTCCTTGCGTTTTAGAACGACCCGCTGCTCGGACGTTGACCGCCATGGCAACCCGTAGTACTATGCAGTCGTAAGCAGTCATAAACAGTCATAAGCATCGTAACGACGACATAATAATGCTTTAACGTAAACTTCCGAACCATGCTTAAAAGGGTCATAAAACGATTTTTCAACCTTTTCCTGCTTAGCTTTCCTACCTAACTTACCAATCGCGCATTGTACCAAACAGTTCAAGAAGACGGAGAGGAGGGATTTTGCTTTCTCTCGTACCCTCGTTTGCGTACCCGAACAGTGCCATTCTTTTCCTAGAAGATTAGCCCGTCGCTCGAAACTCGGACAAAAGTTGCTTTTCCCACCCCGTACCCTCGTAAGCTGAGAGTGCTGTGGAAGCTACGTGCTCCTTGGGCCAGCTATACGTTTGCCACATGGTCGCGCTCCCTCGTGCATACCCAGGCGCTGAGAAGGAGGTCAGGTGATGAAACGGAAGCGGCTGATTGGTTCGGCAACCACATAGCTTCCACTTCACTGTCAGCTTAGGGGTGAAGGGAATAAGTGAGGTCCGGTGTCGTGGGACGTGCGTTTGAGCCAGGGGACGCGCTTTGGGTACTGCTGATGTATCACAGTGAAAAGGAAGAGAGCTTTCGGATGGAAGGAGGTACGAAATAGCCGGCGGTATTTTAAAATTTTCGTACCAAAAAGAAAAATTTGACTTTTGACTTTCTAACTTCTCTCTTTTGGCCCAATAAACGATATGCTATTTGTAAAACACCAATATAAAGTCATTTATCCCAGCCCAAAAGTCGTTTCATAGCCCCTTTAAAGGACACGTGCAAAAAAAAATTTTTAAACAGCTTAGATGGAAAAAGGATACCATAAAACGATTTTACAACGAAGAAAAAAATGTTTAAAGCTATATTTACGGCGCTATACGAATTTGTAGTTTGCGCCCGCGGGAGTCGCCACTGGTCACGTGGTAGGCCTGTGCGCCGCCGCGCTGCGTCGCCGCCGCCACAAAGTCACGCCGCCGCCGCACGCTGAGCATTGTACGACGCCGCTTCAACGCGTTTCTCCACGCTGCCGTCGCCGCCGCCGCACAAGTTCATCTGCTTCGGGGCGCCGCCGCCGTCATCTGACCGGCGCACAGATCTCTGACGTCTGCTTGCACATTTTCAGGAGTTTCCTTTGGGTTCTAAAAGTTGCTTATCAATCTTAGTTTTTTTGTTATGCTTCAAACAAAGATAAATAAGCTACTTTAAGAGGCCATAGGAAGCTTCCGAAAGAGTGCAAGCACCACGTGATAAATAAGGTCCAGTCACGTGATAAATAAGGGCCACTTCTCCGCGGCGCCCGCGGGCGCCGACTACAAATTCGTATAGCGCCATAAATATAGTTCTAAAATTTTTTTCTTCGTCAACATGGAATCAATCATGATTCGTGTGGTCGTTACACAGTTATGGGTTCCAAAATATTTGTTTTGTTTGTTACTTCCGGTTTTTGTATATGTGATTCTGTAGGCAGCCTTCGTCACAGCTCCGAATCTGTCGTATTAAAAACGTTCATCCGTTGGGAAAAGAAATAAGCGCCTTATGAGTTGTGTTTCAATTAACTACCCCGCTGAACCAAAAGCAGTGACTTTCCTTTTTTCAAGTTATTTATGAGAGTAAAAAGTGCACAGGTGCTGTTTTCAAATTTTCAAAGCATCAGTATAATCACTCTGAACCTTTTTCTGAAAACTATTTCTGATCTTTATTTATTTGTGTATATCCCGTTTTCTTCAATGTCTGTTTCTGTAAATTCAGAATCAGAGTTGTGAACTGGAAACGTATCCGCGGTTCATTGCGGACTAAGGAATTTAGGACCCTCGGTTTCATACACTCCAAAATAAAAATTGTTCTTGAAAGGTTCTTTGACGCCCCAAGAAATTTTTCAGCTCCTGAAGAACGGTTTCGCCTTAAGCATTATCGCTTCCTGACGCACTAGAAAGGTACCTGGGCGATAAAAAACCTATCGCATCAAAAAAGGAGCTTAAAAAGAAACCTTTACAGGTTTTTCACGAATGACCCTTTTAGGAGTGCTTGAAATAACTTATTGGGATTAAAAATATGGACGAGCGAAGGACCCCTAATAGTCTTTTTACGACTAGATTGTTTTAGAGCTTGGTTTTAGAGCATGCAATCTAACGCTTTTAAGGCACTTAAATTGCGCGCCAAAGATGTTTCTCAACGTGTCTCGCTGCAATTCCCTAGAGAGGTGCAAGCAGGGTTGGAATTAAACGGTGAAAAAAAAATCAAGAAATTAACTTACCTCGTTCAAAAGAAGAATAAAAAAACATGTTTTAGGCAGTCTACGCCGCCACTTTGCAGACAATGCACGTGAAGTGGGAAGTGATGCGTACTCTGCGTTGAGGGAGTGCCGGCCGATTGTGGTTCTTTCAAAATCGCTTGCTGTAATAACCCGAATCGGCTGACGCTCCCTAGGCTCTCTACGCTCCCTTGACATGGCGTATACGCTATCTGTCGGCAGCACTTCCCACAACGCGCGCTTTATCTGCGAAGTGGCGGCGTAGATTGCCCAGAACATGTTTCTGTTGTTTTTCCTTCTTTACAACGAGGTAAATTTATTTCTTAATTTGTCGAGTTAAAATTTCCACCACCCGCTTGCACCTCGACAGTAGATCGCTGCGCGATACGTTGAGAAATCGATTTTTGCAGGCCGTCCAAATTGCATTAAAAGCGCATGTTTACATGTTGTAAGACAACATATCCTTCTTCAAAGACCCGGCTTCGAAGATATGTTCTAGGCGCAACAAGCATCTTCAAAATTCGCGCGGCCCAGCAAAGTTAACAGGTACACGACATCATGTCAAACTAACAAGAAAACAAAATGGCAAATTTATATTTGTGCAATCTACCATAAACCTTTCAGCACAGGCACTCGCACAAGGTCTTTTTAAGTGGCTTGATAAGAGCTGCAGGAGCTCTGCAATAATGACTTTAAAATATATTGATAAGCGCAATCTCATAATAATATGAGCTTTATTGACATAGAACAAGTTATACGAGAGAATTTGGCACTTTCCAGCTTTACACACACACAAAAAAAGCTATATTTCGCGAGCTTTCATTTAGCTGATTTTCTTTAAAATTTTATTTTCATCGCTACCGACGTTTATAATAATTTTTGTTATACATTTGTTCCTGGTTTATCACTGTAATAAAAGGTGCTTTGAAATGACGGAGGCATTAGAACTACCTTGTTCTAGCGGCATTGTAATGCCCCGGACACAGGTGAAATTCCACATGCTTCAGATATCATTTTGTGGGCAATGGACGCGTTCAGTAGCGGCTCCACTGACAACAAACGACACGTACGAGTAACGATCTTATAAAGAGTTATAAAATAGAGGGTTCCAACGTTTTGGTGCCCCTAAAAAACTGGGAAACACAAACAAAACAAGATTGGCGCTACCGGGATATAAATTTATAGAATAGGGATTTTAACATTTTAAAAACGCAGCGCAGCGTGCTTACTTTTCTCACTTGCAGCGCCAATGGGGTTAACAAGGTGATATAAAAAATATAGATATAAAAAAATGTGAACATATGCGCTCAGTAAGTATTTTTTTCTTTATAAATAATAGTTAAGGCGAAATCAAATCAACCCGACTAAAACAAAAGAATATAAAATCAGTATAAATATTGATAGCTGTTTTTGTCCAAAAACAATCCAATCCGTAGCGCTCCAATTCTGTGCTCATTCTCGGACTGCTTTTGCTGTTCATGTGCCGCGTTGAGCGTCGGTCGCGGAAGATTTCGGCATAAAACTCTGATTTGGATCATAGCTCGGCGACTTAAATTCCTTTCAAGGGTTGTTTTCACGCTACATTTAAAGGCCGACGACCAGTTCGCGCTTTCAACTTTACCCTCGCTTCCTCCTCTCCCCCCTTCTACCCTGTCCACTGTTGCCTGTTTCCCCCTCCCTATGGTGAGAAGGATCTTCTGCCTTGCAGAATCTCGAGTCTGGTCGTCGGCCTTTAACGTGGCACGAACGAAATACATTCAGTCTCGCAGTAGCGAGACGTTGGCATGTCAACGGTTGGCGCGTCTCTTTCGGCTTAGAAACACCGGAGTCGGAAGACAATCTTTAAAATAGGACAAGCGCACCGCTCCTTCTTTGAGATTTGAGCGAGATTAGGCGAAGCGAAATCCGGCTGCATCATTCACTCGTAATGAACGTGGCTAATAGTGCAGCAACCATGACGGCTCCGAAGCGAGCTGAAAGGGCGCCGCTATGTTTGCCGACGCAACCGGGCCCCGAGCAAATAGGGGCCGCACGCTCTTCCTCGAGTTTTGCGTCAAGGGCAAGTGCCAACCCAAAACCCAAAACGCAGTTTATATTCGTCTCATGCGCAGTTGTGAGCCCCTATTTCTTTGGGGCCCCCCAGCTCTGGGAACCCCTATTCTAAAGCGTTATAATGGCAAAGGAGCATGGTCGTAAAGCCAGCTTTTGATTGTTCTGTGCAGCAGTCGATCATCGAACAAAATAAATCCAGGCCACGCCAAACATGAAAACTATTTTTTGAACTTGTGTATTTCATCGTTTTGGAACGGCCAAATAAATGTGGCACCGTCAGTTATTAAAACAATCAAACCTTTTGGCA